TCAGCCCCGAATACAGTTTTATTTGGCCTTCCAGCTGTGTGACTTTCGGAAATTTACTTTACCTCTCTGATTCTCACTTTCCTTCTGCATGAAATGAGGTAATATGTGTTTCCTATTTAGAGAGCCATCGTTCATCTATTAGTTTTTTGTACTGTGGTGGCTTGCACATTGCTATGATGGTGGGAGCTATGCTACTAGTATTTTAAATATCAGAAGGGTACACCTTTGGTGGGCAGGTTTCAGCTAAGCTTCCAGACTAACACAGACTGGAAAGGAGAGGCAGAGTACTTCTGAATGTCTAGCCACTGAAAGCCTTATGAATAGCTGTAGAATGCTCTCAAATTGTACCAGAATATTGAATATTGAAAAATGATGACTAACTCTAGAATATCGTCAGATACGGAGTCCTGGTGTAGCACTGTAGGATAGGAATGCACCATAAGGTCAGTTTGCACCAAAGGCAGCACTTCAAACTCACCAGCTACTCCTTGGAAAACTTATACAGGGTTGCCCTGATTAGAAACCAACCCGACAGCACTTAACAACAAAAACAGCAGTTGTCAGATACCATGCCTGAAGATGAGTCCCTCAGGTTGAAAGGCACTAAAAATACAACTGGGGAAGAGTTGCCTCCTCAAAGTAGAGTTAACTTTGATGATACTAATGGAATAAAGTTTTTGGGACCTTCATTTGCTGATGGGGCACAACTCACAATGAGGAGAAACAGCTGTAAATATCCATTACTAATAAGAACATGGATTTTACAAAGTATGAATCTAGGAAAACTGAAAGTTGTCAAAAAGTGAAATGGTACACATAAAGATCCATACCGTCAGTATTAGTGAACTGAAATGGACTGGTATTAGCCCTTTTGAATTTGATAGTATGTGGTGCTGTGGGTTAATGCGCCAGACTGCAAAGCCATTTGAATTGCAAGGTCGGTGGTTCAAGTTCACCAGTCACTCCTCGGAAACCCTATACAGGGTCGCTATGGGTCGGAACCGATTCGATGGCACTTAACAACAAACAACAACAACATGGTATACTATTGCCAGCAATGACAAATTGAAGAGGAATGGCATCACATTCATCATTAAGAAGAACATTTCAAGATCTGTCTTGAAGTATAATGCTGTCTGTAATAGGACAATATCCATATGCCTACAAGGAAGACCGGAGTCCTGGTGTGGTGCTGTGGGTTAATGCTTTAGACTGCAAAGCCATTTGAACTGCAAGGTTGGCAGTTCAAGCTCACCAGCTGCTCCTCGGAAATCCTATACAGGGTCACTATGGGTTGGAACCGACTCGACGGCACTTTAACACCAACAACAAACAAGGAAGACCAGTTAATACCACTATTATTCAGATTTACACAGCAACCACTAAAGACAGCGATGATGAAATGAAGTATTCTTCAATCTGAAATTGATTAAACATGCCATCAAGATGTATTTATAATTACTGGTGATTGGATTGCAAAGATTGGAAATAAAGAGGAAGGATCAGTAGTTGGAAAATATGGCCTTGGTGATAGAAATAATGCTGGAGATTGCATGTTACAGTTTTGTAAAACCAATGACTTACTCGTTGCAAATACCTTTTTTAAACAACATAAAAAATAACTGTACACATGGACTTCAAGATGGTATATACATAAATCAACTTGGCTGCATCTGTGGAAAGAGACAGTGGGAAAACACCCTATCAGCAGCCAAAACCAGGCTAGGAGCAGACTGTAGAACAGACCATCAGTTGTTCACATGCAAGTTCAGGCTGAAGCTGAAGAAAATTAAAACAAGTCTGTGAGAGCCAAAATTTAACCTTGAACATATCACAGCTGAATTTTGAGATCATGTGAAAAACAAATTGGATGCATTAGACACATGAGTGCTGTGGAATGGTGTCAAGAACATCATGCTAGAAGAAAGCAAAAGGTCACTAAGAAGATAAGAAAGAAGGAAAAGACCAAAATGGATATCAGAAGAGACTCCGAAACTTGCTGTCCAGCATAGAGATACTAAATGGAAAAAATAAGGAAGTACAAGAACTGAATATAAAATTTCAAAAGGCAGCTCAGGAAGAAAAAGTCAAGTGTTATCATGAAATGTTCAAAGACTAAGAGTTACAAAACCAAAAGGGATGAATATGCTCAACATTTTTGAAGATGAAAAAACTCAAGAGAAACTTCAAGCCTCATGTTGCAGTACCGAAGGATTCTGTGGACAAAATATTGAATATTGCCGAAAGCATCAAAGGAAGACAGAAGGAGTACCTAGAGTCACTTTACCAAAAAGAAATGGTTGTTGTTTAACCACTTCAATAAATATCATATGATCAAGAGCCAGTGATACTGAAGGAAGAAGTTCAAGACACTCTGAAAGCATTGGCAAAGAAAAAGACTCTGGGAATTGATGGGGGATACAAATTCAAATCTTTCAACAAACTGATGCAGCACTTGAGGCACTCATCTATGCCAAGAAATTTGGGAGACAGCTTTCTAGCCAATGTATTGTGCCTATTCCAAAGAGAGGTCACCCAATGGAATGTGGAAATCATCAGGCAGTATCATTTATATCACATTGCAAGTAAAATTTTGCTAAAGACAATTTTTAAATGGCTACAACAGTACATGGACAGGGAACTGACTGTTCAAGCCGGATTCAGATGAGGACGTGGACCGAGGGGATATCATTTGCTGATGTCAGATCGATCTTGGCTGAAAGCAAAGAATACCAGAAAGATGTTTACCTATGCTTTACTGTCTATGCAAAGATTTTCGAGTGTGTGGATCCTGACAGACCATGGACAACATTGTGGAGAACGAGTATTCTAGAACACTTAATTGCACTCATAAGGAACCTGTACATAAACCAGGAGACAGTCGTTTGAACAAAACAAGGGGGCACTGAATGTTTGAAATCAGGAAAGCTGTATGCCAGGGTTGTATTCTTTCATCATACTATTCAATCTGTATGCTAAGCATATAATGCGAGAAGCTGGATTATATGAAGAATGTGGCGTCAAGGTTGGAAGAAGACTCATTTACAACCTGCGACATGAAGATGATATAACCTTTCTTGATGAAAAAAAAAAAAAAAAGGACTTTAAATACTTAACTGATGATGATCGGAGACCACAACCTTCAGTATGGATTTCACCTCTGTGTAAAGAAAACCAAAATCCTCACCACTGTACCAATAAATAACATTATGATAAATGGAGAAAAGATCGAATTTCTTAAAGACATCATTTTTCTTGGACCCACAATCAACATTCACAAAAACATCAGTCAAGAAATCAAATGATTATGCAAATCTGTTTCTCAAAGATGTCAGTTTAAAGACAAGGGTATTTTCAGTACCTTCATATGCATGTGAAATTTGAACAGTGATTAAGGAACACCATAAAAGATGCATTTGAGTTATGGTTTTGGAGACGACCATTAAAAGTACCATGGACTGCGGGGAAAAAAAAAACCAAATTGCATTGAACGAAGTACTGCCAGAATGCTTTTTAGAAACCAGGATGGCAAGACTTAGTTTCTCGTGCTTCAGATATTTTATCAGGAGGGACCAGTTCCTGGAAAAGGACTTCATACTTGGTAACGTGCAGTGTCAGTGCAAAAGAGGAAAACCTCCCCATGAGAAGGATTGGCACAGTGGCAGAAGCAATGGACTCAAGCTTAACAAAGATTGTGAGGCTGGCACAAGACTTCTCAGTGTTTTGTTCTGTTTTGTGTAAGGTTGCTGTGAGCTGGAACCAATTCTATGGCACATAACAACAACAATCTCATACAGAGAGCTGTTGTAAGATTTAAGAGTTTGGTGTATATTTTACTGGTTCTTTGAATAGCTTAATCCTTGGGATCTTTTTTAAGCAACAAATATTCCTTTGTTGTCTGTTTTTAAATGTATATTTTCGAGTTATTTTATTCCAAGTTTCAATGTGTATTAAATGGTAAATGTCAATGTAATCATACTTTCTTGGTTTTTGAAAGGTATGTGGTATTATAACATTGTTTGGAGAAATCACATATGTTTAACATCGAATCATGCATTTTAATGTGCAGAGCAAGCATCTGTAATTTTGGTGCCATATTCAAGAAGAGTTAAATCTTCATGTGGATAAACATCCATGAACATTGTGTTTAATTAATGAGAGCTGCACTGTTAGAGCAAGCATGTTTCAATGTGTGAAGCATCCCTATTTTTATGTAATTTTGTGCAATGTTATGAAAAGCTCAAATATGCTACCTACCCTATTGTATTTGTGTTGTGTGTCTCCAGTTCATTGACTCTCATCCCTTCTTGTCCCTTTTTTTATCTGACTTTTAACTCCACTTCTCTCCTTTTTCAAACAAAGTCAACCCAAGAGTAACTTGTTGGTTTTATCCCCATTTTACAGATTTACCAAAGAAAACTTTGAGAGGTCAAATAATTTAATTTGCCCAAGGTGCTCCAAGTAGATTTTAGATCGTGTGGTTGGAGACCCTTCTTTGGATTAAGGCTTATTTTCTTTATTTAGAATATTCTTTTCCAGTCAGTAGATCTGGCTGAATCTTAACTGCCCAGGAATTTTTGACAATTAGCATGAAGAGAGTACATTGAAGCAAATACTCTGTGGAATTAATTTTGTCTGTTGAATAACGTCCTCAGCTGTAATGACAGCAGTTAGCCGTTTGAATTCACCCAAATGTGCCTCTAAATAAAGGTCTGGTCATCTATTTCTGGAACATCAGCCTTTGTAAATCCTGTGGAACAGGATTTTGCTGTAGTCTGACTCACACAGATTCACCATGCATTACAATCTACTCAACTACACCTGTAATGCTGACCAAATTTAGGACAGGCAAGACTAGCATATAGGAACAAGAGTCGTGGTGTTCACTGTATACAATAAATTCTGTTTGCCTGCACAAAGTCCTAAGGCAAAGCTGAGATAAAAATTATGATCTGTGATTGGCGACTGCCACTGAATGTGTTTGTCTGTTTTGTTTTCAGGGTCTATGCCATGTACAATTCCGTAAAGGGATCCTGCTCTCAGCCGGTTAGTTTTACCACCCACAGCTGTGCACCCGAGTGTCCTTTTCCACCGAGGCTGGCACACAGAAGCAAAAGTTCACTAACCTTGCAGTGGAAGGTGGGTAGCGCAAAGTGTCAGTAATGGTCTGAAGTTAATCTAATGTCAGTCTGTAGCTATTTGAAACATTTATGTTCTGCTGTCACAGTTCTGTGATAGTGTTCAGTTTTCTTCAGAGTAGCTATGTGAAGCAAATGATGATATCAGTAGTTGCCATTTCTATTAAAATTAGGCAACAGGGTGGGAAGAGGAAATTACAAGACCCAGTTTTCACTCTTTTTGCTGGAGAATTTGGTAACTTTCCTAGAAAAGTCACACTTTATAAGTGATATAAATAGTTAAAATGCCCACACTTCATCATTTTCAGCCATCATTCAGTAGAAAGTTTCATAAAGAACAATTCAGATATCAGGTAGGTTTATGGCTCTGTTGACTTCTTTCAGTGGGGGCCTTGAATACTTAATATTTAAAACTTAGAATGACTTCATTAAGTTTTACTAATTGGGCCTTAGATAAGTCAGGGCTATTAATTATATGAAAGATTGAAATAAACAATTGTTTTAATGTGATGTAGTTTACTGGCTACAACTAAATGCTGCCAAAGAGACAGCCTATTGAGCCTTCCTTTAGGAATATCATTAGCTTATTATTCATGGTGGGGTGTTTGCAAGAGAATATTAGATCATATTGTCAATCTGTATATTAATTATTTCTCTACACTGAGAGTTTACTGCATAGTTTAAAATGAAAATGTATTTCTTTTGTGTCATGTTCACAAATGGCATACATAATAAGGTAGAGAATTATAAGGTTTACAGTGTGGGGAACTGATAATGTGTATAAGGAAAAAGATGGCTGCAGGGATCCATTACTAGTGAAGGAATAGTCTGTGTTTTGTAAACAGGAGGGTCAAATTTATAGAGGGAATTGATAAAAAACATTTGAGAACAGTTGTTAATAGCAAAACATGGGCTTTTTTCTCATGTGGGCAGCTGCATTCTCATATCCAAAGGCCAACCTGAGTGTTTTGTTTAGACAAAGGCAAAGTTGAAACTGGCTTAGAAACTGAACTATTTTATTTTCCTTCCTGGCTTCCAGGGATAATACAGGTCAGTGATTCCCCACCTTTTCAGAGTAATACCCAGTTGGTCGTCATTGTTCAATTCTTTAGAGCATATATATCCACTTTTAAATGTCCTGTATAGTCATATGTAAATAGTTCTTTCTTTAAGGAAATAATTAAAATCCATTCTGTTTGGAAAATATTAAAGTAATCTTAAGGTTAGTGGAGGGACTCCAGGGTCTTACAGACCTAAATTTGGGAATCACTGATTCATGCTTCACTTGAAACGTGGATGAATTCAGGTCTCAGGTAGAATTCCTCCTACTTTTCTTATTAGGAAGGAAATGTTTCAAGTTTTCATCCTCTGTTTGTTTAATTATGAATCAGAAACAAGCTTATATCGTGGAAAAATTTCTGGATTTGGTGTCAGTTTTCCTTTGAGCAGTTTTCCTAAGTGAAGCGCTCAGGTGGGAACATGGGACAGGGAACTATTCTCTGCCTGCAAACTATTCTTGAATCCACAAAGACACTGGGAGAGCCAAACATCTTCCAACTGCTACGAATTACTAAGCAGCAGCTATTTAACAGTACCCTTTCCCTCAAGGAATTAGGGTCTTATTGATGTTGTTAAGTGCTGTAGAGTCGGTTCTGACCCATAGCAACCACATATAGGGTTTCCGAGGAGTGACTGGTGAGCTTGAACCACTGATCTTATGGTTCAAAGCAACTTTGCAGTCCTGCATAGCACCACATGTGGGTCATAAAAGGAGCCCTGGAGGTGCAGGGTTAAAGCATTTAGTTGCTAAACAAAAGTCAGCAGTTTGAACCCATCCATTACACTGCAGAAGAAAGATATAGCGGTCTGCTTCCGTAAAGATATACAGCTTTGGAAACCCTCTGGGATACTTTTACTGTGTTTTATAGGATCGCCGTGGCTCAGTCAATTCAGTGGCAATGGGGTTTGTATTAGTAAAATATGCTTTAGAGGAATCTGAGAGGTAAAAACTTTTTTCTAGAGAAATCAATGAGGTATCATAAATGGGTTCTCATCTAATACTTTGATTCTATTAGTTATTCAGTACTTTTGATGCATCTTATCCTGTCCACCAAAGCTAGCCCATAGAAACCTGTATTTATACTTCTAGAGAATTTAGAGCCACTGATTACAAGTCGGGCTGCTAACCTCAAGGTCAGCAGTTTGAAACTACCAGCTTTATGTTCCTGTAAAAATTTACAGCCTCAGGAACCCTGTACAGGGTCACTATGAGTCAGAACCCACTCCAGGGCACACAACCACCAACCAACCACCTGAGAACTGGGATTTGGGAGTCTATGACTCCACAGGGAAAAGTAGGAGGAGATGGAGAAGAACTTCTTTATTAACTAAAATTTACTGCACCCCTAATGATTTTTTTAATTAACAATAGCAGCAGCTAATTATTTACTAAGTGGCATATACTCATGTAGTAGTATAATAGGTGATTTACATATAGTAGAGATAATAGATGATTTACATATATAGCCTACTTATCACACTCACCCATTCGTGATGAGTAAATGACCAAGCTGGAAGTGAAACACATCTCTGGGGAACCCTGTTGCTAGGGCCAAGGCACTGTGCTGATTGCTGGTCTCCCATGATATTCCTAAGGAAGATCTAGGCCCAGACACAGCTTTGAAATAGGAAACACCATTCTACTACTCGTTTTTCCCCTTCCTCCTTTATCTCTCTCCAGATCTCATTAACCTGGAGTTGCCAGGAACCCACTCTAATACTCCATTCTGGCAAACCTAATTTTACAATGTATCTGCCCTTGTTCCACTTGTTCAAAAACCTCACTTTCCTCTTCAAAGCTGATCCCTGCCTGCTGTTAAGGAAAGCAATGGTGAAACTACATTTTTTTAACATGTGAAGGGTATGAAGGGCTAGTAATTCCTGGTTAATCTATAGCTAGTGGGAGAAAGATAAGGCTTTCTATTCCCATAAAGTTTTACAGCTTAGGAAATTCTATGTATGTAGTCACTATGAGTCAGAACTGACATGATAGCACTTAACATCAACAAGAGTAGTCTACCTCGTTGTTGTTGTTAAGTGCCATTGAGTCAGTTCTGACTCATAGCGACCCTGTGTATAGGGTTTCTGAAGAGCAGGTGCTGGGTTTGAACCACTAACGTTTAGGTCGCAGTCCTCTGGTGTTTACCCTACAGCAGGATCCCATTTTCCCTTTTTTTTTTTTTTTTTTTTAAAGCACTCTTAATGCCACAAATGGGAGTGCAATGGCTCCATGGGCTGCAAACCATAAGGTCAGCAGTTCAAGCCCACCAGCCACTCAGCCGAAAGAAGGTGGAGGCTGTCTGCTCCCACAAAGATTTAAAGCCTCAAAACCCCATACAGGGTCACTATGAGTGAGAACCGACTGCACGGCACTTAGTAATGACTCCAGTGCCACATGGCTTTTTACTTGTAAGCATTAAAGAAAAGAAAAAAACAGACTATATGGAAGAACGTCAGCTCTCCCTTATCAGACCCGTAGTAGTGCCTTTGCTTCTCAACTGCATACTCTCTCTCCTCTTGAATTTCAAGTGCCACTTGAAAATTTTATATCCACAGTGGAAGTAGCCCCATGTAGAACTTGTGGGGGAAGGCAGGTGTTGCTATTTATGGGAAATTATTTATTAATAGTAGGAATGCTTTCTACAGTTGAGTTGTATTGAATAGTTTGCGACAGATTTTGACCAAGGAAATTCAGGTTTATCCCCTTGAGGGAAGAAGATAGAACTGTTAGGATAATGTATTTATCTGTTAAGTATTGTTTATGGACAGCATTTTCTAATCTCATTTTATTATTGTTTTTTAGGCGCCAATTGACAATGGTTCAAAAATCACCAACTACCTTTTAGAGTGGGATGAGGTAAGCGTATCTTCATATTCATCCATCTAAAATACCATTTCACAAATAAACGGTACTTATTTTTACCCATTTTATTCTTTTATAAGGCATCCTAGAAAACTCGCATAAAAGGGATGTATGTAGAGAAAAATGTAAAGCCAGTAGTAGTTACTGAATGTGGAGCATGAAGATGTACTGAAGTGGTGTAATGAATTGTGCACTTAAATGGGTTGATTTGCAAGAAATTCTGCTGGAAGACAAGAAAGCATCTTACATCTTTTGGGGTCTCTTGTGTCTAAGGAGCCATTGTTATTGTTGTTCTTAAGCGCTGTCGGGTCAGTTCCGACACGTATGACCCTATACAGGGTTTCAGAGGAGCGGCTGCTGAGTTTGAACTGCCAGTCTTGCGATTCAAGCCAACCTTGAGGTCCAGTGCTTATCCTACATCACCACACCAGGACTCCAAGCGGTCATTAGTTTATACAAATGAAGCAGCCCTAAGTCTGTACAAAACATTGGCTACTTTGTCATCTTAAAACTTCCCAGGGCCCTTTTGCTTAGATTGTTTTGCTAAGATAAACTACATTGTGGCTTGGGAAGCATATCTTGCTTTTCCTTTTGAATGTCACTTATGTACCCTGGTGTTGCACTGATGTCTTTTCTCCATGGGAGAGTGGATCTGTGTGCATGTAGGTCTTGCTCTCCACCTTGTGCAATCCTCCTGTAGACCGCTCAGCTGCCCCCTTGCTGTTTCCACACCAGAGACTTGGATGCTGTCCACACTGGAGTCTCCTTTTCTCAAGACCAGTCTGTGTTGAGTGGTGACTCATGGTGCTTCCGCCAAAGCAAACAAAATACTCACAGAATCTCTGACAGGAAATACTTGATGCCTTTCGTTTCTAAATAGCCATGGTATTTTTTTGTTGTTGTTGTTGTAGATCTTCAGTTCATTTATTCTTTTGCCCTTCCTTTATTCTTTCTGTACTTGCACAGATAGACTCAGGAATTTAGGAATAGAAAATGGGGAACTTGGGGAGAAATTTAAGGCTTAAATTGGAGGGGGTGATTAGAAATCTAAAAATGTATGCAGACTTGGGGGGAAAATTACTTGACAAGTGTATAAAAATACTTTAAGCAAATTAAAAATGAAAATTAGATTAAATACACATGATAAAATTTTGATGTGAAAGAAGGGCCCTTTCTCTATCTGCAGAAGTTTATTTTCCCATCTGGGTTGCATCTGAATAGCTCGAGTTCCAAGTGACCAAAGACAACAATCTTTTGTTCTTGGGAGCCCTGTGGCTAGCTTGGATGTACAGATTGGTGAGATCTCAGACTTGACCAATTCATTTTACATATTAGGTGAATTTTGTTTAAAGGTAGTCCAATTGGAGAACAAATCATCCCTTTGGCCCTAGTGGAAAGAGAATTTTATAGGCAGTCAGGAGAGTTGGAAAGGAACTTGGCTGACCTGTGAGCATATATAAAATAGCATCTTCCCATCCTTCCTCTACCCCTAAGGGTAAGAGTTCAGTGAAGTCTGTTTCTAAGTGTGTTGGCTCTTGTGACCTGATGTTGTTTCTTTGATCTTGAGGGTGGTTTTGTTTTGTTTTTTAAATGAGAGCAGAATTTACCAGTGAAAAAGAGGATTTAAAAAATCATCTTTTAACAGCTTTTCAGCCTGGAACCATGAATGAGTTCGTAAGTTAAGTAAGGTCAGGGAAGCTGACAACTTAAATAGGAAACTTCCAAGGAAAACCCAGGTGCTGCAGGAAATGGTGGTGGTGGTGACTCTGTTGCTGGCCCCTTTCCTTTTGAAGTTGCAATGGAAGTGCCTGGGGGGAAATAGGCGACTGCCCCACATGAATGTGGAAGCCATGTCTGGTGGCCATTTATATAGTACACAAGACCTACTATTCAAAAAGTATTAAGTGTCCCAAAAGTGACTTGCTTGTAGTCTCTGCCTGCTGTGCCCCTTCTTCCTGGCTTTCCCTCTACTCTGTCATGTTTCTTTGCCTCCTGCCCACGTTAGCTTTTCAGCCTTTCCCTTTCCTCTTTATTTTCTCTCCCAACTTTGAATTCTTTCTTGTATTAGCTCTAGTGAGTTTTTCTGGAGATTCCAGGGTCATTAACTCTCATTACCCACAGACCTTTTGTCAGTACAGGAATCTTTCCTGATTCTCTGGTTATGATATTCACCTCCTTGAAAAACTGCTGGACCCCTAACTCTGCCCCATTGCCTTCAGTGCCCTGGCAACAGAATGTAGTAGAAAGAAAATGAAGCATTTGGAGATATGGATTCTACTTTCAAGTTTTATACTGAGCATTTCTAGAATCTTGACCAAAAATTGTAGATGTGGATTATAGTTCCAAGTTTCTACGTGGGCACCTCTGGGACCTCAACCTTTGAGGTCTTCCATATGTCTGTCTATGAAATGGTGAATAAATTTGCTGTGATAGCTGAAAAACTAACATAATGCTATCCTCTTGATTGATTTAAGAACAGACACAAATAAAACTTCAGCTACATGCATCTCAATTTTTTCCATACTTTACATTATATCTCCCTAGTTGTTGTTATGTGCCGTGGAGTCGGTTCCGACTCATAGCCACCCTGTACATGGTTTCCGAGGCTGTAAATCTTTACGGGAGCAGAAAGCCTCATCTTTCTCCCGCGGAACAGCTGGTAGTTTCCAGCTGCTGACCTTGCAGCCTGATTCGTAGCCACTACACTACCAGAGCTCCTAGTGGTTACAAATTGAGTTGCGAACCTCAAGGTCAGCAGTTCAAAATGTTAGTGGGAGAAAGATGAGGCTTTCGGCTCCCATTAAAGATGTACAGCCTTGGGAACCCTGTGCAGGGTCACTATGAGTCAGAACTAACTCCACAGCACATAACCACCACTTTCTAAAAAACAACAAATAAACAAAACAGCTAATGGGGAGTTGATTGCAACTTACAAAAATTCCGTAGATGTCAAAGTAGAACTATGCTCCATTAGGTTGCCATTGAGTGTAATGTTTCAGAAGGAGATCGCCAGGTCTTTATTCTGAGGCACCTCTGAGTGAATTCAAACCACCAACCTTTTAGTTAGTAACCAAGCGCTCGACCATTTGTATCACCCAGGAACTCCTTACTCCTTTTCAATCCCCCTAAAATAATTTCAAAACAACTATCGTTGGATTTTCTGCTTGTGAGAATAAAACTAATAATAAATGATTGATTCTATTATTTCATAAGTAACATTTTTGACAAAACCATCTGGCAGTCTACATTTCTAAATTTGGGGCTAAATCAGAGGTCTGTTTTTAAGGGGGAGCATCACTTTGTATCCATGTAACCTAAGGTCTTGGCTTCAAGAAAGAAACACAAATGCATAAACAAGACAGCAGCAGTTGGGTCTGCAAGAAGTAGAAACCCTCCTAACCCCTGATGCATGGTGATTTCTGGAGCCAGGTGTACCTGGGACTGTTTCCAGACTGCCTTGGTGGAGTGCAGTGGAGCAGGAAATGGGAAGGGGTGTTGTGTTAGAACCATCTCCATCCACCCATACCCTGAACCTGAGCCAGACTTCTCTTCTACTCTCCGCTCCAAGGACATCTGCCTCAACTATATACATACAGCCTCTCTGTCGTCCAGGAGGCTGCAAAAGCAAATTCAGTGTAGAGAAAGATTGTGAGGTACACAGAAGAACAAATCACAGTCTGAGAATGATCTCCTGGGAACTGAGAGTCTCTGACAATGTGGTGGTCCTTGGTTGCTCCCCTGCTGCCTCTGCTCTGAGAATCATAGCTTGGTGCAGTGTCTGTCTTACCTGTCCATGAGCACAACCAATGGCTGGATAGCCACATGTTGTTCACCTGTTTATTAATGGACACAGCAGTGCTTACAGTTCCTGGGGTACTTACTGCTATATTCAGTTTTTAATTACTATTGTAATAAAATGATACGTTTAAATGTTGTTGGTTAGGTGCAAGCACGGGGCATCAAGCTCAGGTTTCTTGCCACTAGAAAGAGCATCAACAGAAAGTTGTGTTCTGTTTATGTACCTCCTTGGGCAGATCCACCTTAACCAATAGGTTAAGTCTCCATAGCTACATGGTAGATGGGCTTCAGTGGGGAACAGAATACAAAACTCTAAAATAGTACAGTGGGAAACAGTACATCATCTCTCAAAATTTAGTGTTGTTGATTTCTCATCACTGCTGCGTAGAATGTCATTGGAAATTACTCATTATTAGTATTGTCAGAGGTTTAGCTGCTTGTGTTTCTCCATTACTAAATGTAAGTATACAGCTTTTTACTTTTTAAATCAATGTCTGAAGTAACTATGACTATGAAATGAGCCACTGGAAATGGCACGTACTCCTACAAGTGTTACCACACTTTTCTACTGTGGCCGTGGTTTCTGTTGGCACCTGAAATTTTCATGACTTGAATAGATAGGTGTGGTGTTTCCAAGACAGTCCCAGTATTTGCCACAGGTCCTATTGTGGTAATTCATTTGAGTGGTAGTTTTCAGAACAGTGGGGTTTGAGAACTGGTCCTTCATTGTCCAAACAGGGTTTTGGACACTGTTTTCTTCTTCAGGAGATACCCCACTTTCTGATAATAATAATAATATGCCCTTGCCCACAAATGATAGGCATTCTGGCAGAAAGTTGGTGTGAAGCTTCACAAGGATTCGTTTATGAATTCAGTTTAACCCACAGTTTTGGGGAAAAGGTGTTCTAACTTTTTTTTCTTACACTGAAACAATATTTGGAACATAAGTTTCTAAGGGTGGAGATTCTTTCCTACGTGGGAAGAGTCAGGGGTTGGAGATGGGGCATGGGGGTGATGGGTTGGATAATGCCTGATTCATGCTACCTTGTGGACCACTCCAAAGCTAATCCCTTTGACGTGCCCCCATTCCTGAACTCAAGTCATTGGCCCCTCATGTTGATTTCTGCTCAGTGATGTATGTCAGAATGTCTTGGAGGTTGGAGTTGTCTGGAAGAGGATGGGGAAGGATTGAGAAC